CCTATTTAATTAACTAGCATAAGGTTGTAATTAATATTAAAGCATAGTGTATTAAAATCTAACTGACTTGTTTAAATTTTTGACTATGAAATGAAAATATCTTAACAGAATAACTCTGTTTCAAAAGGTGAAGATTCTTTTGCTTGATAATGATAAATAATAAGACTGAAAACTGATCGATATATACAGTTGAATTATTATTAGAAAGAACAATGAATGCTCATGTAAGATGCAACTTGAAGAATTTCAGAAGACAAGAAAAGAGAATCAGTAAACTCAATACCACTTAGTCACTAAAAATATCTATGAAATTACTGGATTCTTAAAATTGATCAATGTTATTTCTTCTAGTTTTCATTCTTGATCGAACAATGGAGTTCGGTGTAGTCGACTAGGTATTACAGTCTGCACTTCTTGATGTAGGTGATAAATGGTGGTGAATGGTAGCATGACATGAACACGGAATGCGTCTATACCGGAAATTATCAGAAAGATGTGTGTGTGCAGAATTTACATGAATTCGCTGTCCTACGCAGAGATGAGGTGACACCACTTAAATTTGTGGTTTGAGACACAATGTAAACTATGATGAATGTATCCAGTAACGATAATTATTCATAAAAGATGAAAGAAAAACCAGGTTGAAGAATCTCTCAACTTCATAATCCTATGGTGGAAATGATGAACAAAATACATTGTGCAGTGAGTATTAGATGACAGGAGACTGAGTGCTGTGAAGTGACCAGTCGACGTATGTTGTCCAGTTCTACTGGAATGTTACTCACAACCTCAATAACTTAGTGATAATACTTTGGACTACAGTGTTGTGTGATACGAATATTGATCTGTATGAGAATGTGACTCTTTCGAGTCTACAAATACTTACTGGTTGTTAGGTGCAATTGTTTTTGAAAGTGTAATGACATCTGAGTGCTTCAGTTGCATGCATCTGACATGGACTCATGTGGGTTGTGATATCATGTTAATTATGATGGTGTGTGTGTTGTGCTTCTTTGAAATGATTGGTGATGACTTTTGACTTGAATAATGCATCATGTTTCACCCAGTAGATGTAGTGAAGTCTCTTCAACATTCAAGGGAACATTCACTGAGCTACTTAACCTTCACAGCCCTTTTATAACCTCCTTATTCATGAACTATTGCTTTATTGTTCTTTAGGAATGAAATCTCATGCCTCTGTTGCTCATCACATTCTCATCATTAGCACTACCAAGACAACTGTCTAATTGGCCCATGTACTGACAATAATCAATCAAAATAGTTTTCCTTGTAGATTAAAGTCCATTTGGTGAACTTTATGAAAACCTGGAAGCGTTGAATATTTGCTTCTTCCTGTTTCGTGACTCCTCAGCACTGTCTATTCAAGACCTCTTGAGGAATCTAGGGGACTAAATAACTAGACAGTGCTCCCAGGATTTCATTATTTCTCTAGTCAATGTCAGTAAACGAAAAGAACTACTTTGACATCAAATGGTCCTCCTATGTCGCTAATTTAACCTCGTCAATCGAAAATGGGGAAGATCAAATTACAAATACCCAAAAAATATTTCTAATTCGTACACATCAGAAATGGATCACAGTTTAGTGTGGTTATTCATACATGTATACTGAACTGTATATTTAGCTGTTTCCGAAGTCTACTTATGTATAAGTTTCTCAGTATGATTAATGTAAGCATGATGATAAAGTCACTTCTTTCAATTTTGTTTTTCATTTACACTTCTTTTGCACACAAAGTATGTATAGTCTTTGTCTCTACCTTAGTGTGCTTCGTTCCCTTTTTTCGTTTTTCACCCACCCCATTTCTTATCAGATTAATCTTTTTACTCTTATGTCGTCATGATTACTTTATTTTTATATTTAATTGTTTCCGGTGTTATTTAACTTGATCTTCCTAATAATCGTAACTTATAACAAAATATTTTCAGTTTACTTCGATTAGTTCTTTGATTGTTTATTAACGTTCTCACCCTTTTCTAATCCAAATGCACCTTATAAACGATTCGGAAATCTTACGTAACCCTTTTTGTTATCATTCGACCTTTACGCCATCAACTAGCAACACTATAATTATAACCACCATTATTATTGATTGACATACTTGTTATTTCCCATTGTTTTGTAGGATCGAATGGTTCTACCTCTGTTGGCATACGGGCTCCTATGCGGATGCCTCGATATCGCCTGAATGTTTTTTTCAACCCCCCATTACTTAACTTAAATCTTTCTCACTGATTACAGTCTTTAAATATATACGAATGTACAACTTGAGAATAAATTCGTTGAAAAGAGTCCTTTTCGCTGAATATCTTGTTTTTGATGTCATAATGGGAATTATCAACCCATAGATAGGTTTACTGAAATTTTGCGTGATTACAATTTAACCTCTTGTCAGTAAAACAGTATATTCCTGTTGATATCCTGTAGGTTTGATATACTTATGTCACTCAACACTCATTGAGTACATAAAAACTGCTAAAATTGTCACTTTGATCAAAATGACTGTCAGATTGAAAATAAAAGGAAATGATGAAATAAAACGTTGACGTCATACTACATTTATTTGTTGCAAACGTTTTATCACCACCGGTTTCAGAATAAGTTGGTCATGAATGATTACGGAGAATCAGTAGGAAACTCCACTTCATTGGCAATCATTAACAAAGTATCATTTGTTGATACTTGTAATTCTGCATTGTTAGATCGTTGTTGATTGACCTCTGTTGACATATGGGCTCATAGTCGGATGCCTTGATGTTGCCTGAGTACTTACTGCTATGATTGATTTGGTTATGGTTAGCAGTGGAATCCAGAACGCATGTTTCATCATACTAGTAACTACTACCGATTGTACGTATAGGGGTCCTCATGACCTAATGGACAACACTTTGTCATTCGGAGCGATGTATATGATGTCCACATCTGTGGGAACTATACCGCTTACCAGGGTACTAGTACTTCCAGCTGACGAGTAGTAAAAAAGACTAAACGCACACCCCAGATTCCACTGCTAACCACAGTCAAGTCACTCACTGACAAGGTATGCCTGAAATCTTGGGGGAACTCGTTCCCTATTATGACCTCATGTGCACGTTACTCCGTGTCGTAATGAGAAAACTTACCACTAGATTTTCTGGGTATTTGCGTAGCATTTAATCAGCCACAGTTTACTAAATTGATTTTAGTTATGATATGAGCCTACTTCATGATTTCACGTTTTGAGTTCACGTCTCACCAAGGACTCATTCTACAATATTCAATTAATTTCCCTTCATTGTAACCTTTTTGATACTTCAAATCAGTTTATTTGCATTTTCGAAATTTATTTTCCAAAACAATTTCAGACTGCCAACGTTACAGTTCCTGATCAAATGAGTTAAAATCAGAGATTCGGTGTTAAGCCAATTGATTTTCATCTGGTCCATTACTGAACAGATGTTCTATGCTTTATAGATTGAATTTCTGAAAATTTTATGAGATATCAAGTTAACAAACACTAAAGTAACATGTATTGAATGTTACGATTCACTTATTACAGAAACACAGACTAATCTGTATATGTTTCTAATGTTTAAAAACCAGGTCATAAGTACAATTCTAAGAAGAATAATGTTTATTTGCATGCTCAGAGCAACATTTTATTCAATTAGATAACCGATGACCAAGTTGTCATTTTGCCAAGATTTGAGCTAACCAACTTGGCAGTGACCTTTACCATGCTGTATTATCAAACTCCTAAGTATAATCGAATAGAAATTCAATCTTTATTGGGATTTTTCTACTAACAGTCAGATGAAGTATCAGAGGTCATTAATTTTATAACCTTCAATGCTCAAACCAATATACATGTTCTTGAAAGTGAGAAATTTTCGGTAAATCAAGAATATCAGTCAACTTGCAGTCCTTCGTTCTGTTACCTTCTATTCCCTAGGTGGTATAATCGTACAGCTTTTATCTTCTTTCTAGAGAAAATCACCAGCAGTAGCTTGAGTATGAAGTGAACTGTCAGTATCTGTCCGTGAATGGTTTAGTAGCTTGCCCTGATGAACTGGTTTGTAGTTGGTTGTTTCTTTTGATTGTTGTGTCATTGACTGTGTAAATTTTTCTGTTGGCTGTTTCTCTTTCTGACCTCTGACCTTGTAGCTGTTTATCATCTTTCTCATTGATTAATAGATTAAGTCTGTGCATATACATCTATTGACTACTGACTGGTCTGAACGCCTAGCTTCTTGGAATTCCCTGATATTATTTATGTTTCGTCTGTCTACACTGTCGAAATCGAATTCATGTCCATAGTTGTTCACATGCACTAATATGAGCGATGAAATTTCGTGAAGCTTAGTAGCTAATTGATATTCATGTAAACAAAGGTGAATATGGCAACCATTTTGTCCAGAGCAGTGCTGATTGTAGTTGATCTTGTAAATGATATTTGGTTTGTCTTCTTTGACTGTTGTGTTGTTCAGTTTGTAGGGAATATGTTGGTTTATAAGCCACACCAGTTCCAAATAGTCTCAGTAATCTTGTCGTGATTTCTGATATATTCTTATTGTATGGTGAGATGACTCGTTTGCTGATTTCTGATGGACTCAAGTAAAAAAAATTTAGACGGAGTCTATCAACCAATAAGAAAAATGATAAAAAAACTAGAAGGTCAGAGGTCAGGCAGAGAAACAGCCAACAGAAAAATCTATTCAGTCACTGGCGCAGTAATCAAAGGATACTACCAAGCATACACCACTTGCTCAGACCAAGCTACTGAGTCACCTATGGAGAAATTCGGATAGTTCACTTCATATTGAAGTTATTACTGATGTTGTTGTCTAGAAATACAATGAAATCATCCAGCTCAAGGGTATACAACACGGCCGAGATCATTTACTTTAGCTGCAAATATTCTTCATCATTTCAACTTGCCATTTGTTCAAGGAAAAAACGTCTTATATGCAGGAAAATAATTTGTTCATTCTGATACTTACCTACTTCATTTGTAACGCATTGTTTCCACAGTCCACGAACTCGACTCAACTGGTTATAATCATTGACACCTCCAATATAAGGAACATCATATATAGCCCAGTCAGGTGAGATTTGAACTGCAATTGCTAAACCCAAAAAGACTAATTCACATATGTATGAGGCTGTATTTAGTCCTATCCATGCTGCACGACCTGCACGCATATTTTGATAAATATTTGGAATAATAACAATAATTAACAATTATCTCATTTTTTGTTATTCTTTATACAAATTAATCAACCAATCAAATCAGATGCAACACGACATGTACTACATACTCTGCAGTGATTGGATAGTTTCTAACTGAGTTTTGATTATTTTCTCGACTGTGGAAATCGAAATATTTCAGCATAATTACTACTGAGTGTTCATATAAATTTGTGTAGAAAGAAGACAACTGCAAAAAAATTAGTCTTAAAAAGCGGTGAAGTTGCGGTCTTGACTTTTGTTACAAAGACCTCCAAATTACCGTTATCAAATACAGATAACAGCGGTATACACCCATTTGATCATAGGAAAAGACAAGATATGGTTGAAGTGAAGAAATTCTTTTCCTCTAGACAAAGTCATTTAATTAGCTTTTCATTCATGAACATATGTTACAGTGAGCAGAACATTCCAGAATTATTTCCAGTTAGGGGGTAAAATATACTGAATAACTAAAGGAAGTTAATGAATACACATTTGGGTTTGGAGTGGGAAAATAGACAAGGGATTATGAAATTAAATATAATAGTGCAATAAGGGATGAATGTATGGTAAAGTAAGAAAATGAACGAAGGGTTATGAAAATACATTAGTGATTATATAATACTGGATAAACCTTTGACAGAGTAGGAAGATGAACAAGGGATGGAGAAAAAACACATATACAGGATGAATCTATGACAGTCAAGGCTTTATGATAGCTGTGGCAAAGATAAAGGTTGGATGTACCTTTTTTGAATCCATAATGCTGGTTTAAACTTCTGAATCGCCAGTGCTTCAACTGCAGACAAATGCCGTGATCTTACTCCCATTGAGTGGTTTGATTGAACCCTGTAGAAAATTTTGAATGAACTCTCAAAAGGAGCTAAGTGGCCTGAGTTCACGAGGTGTTCTGCTATTGAAATGAAGTTACATTTCCGTTCTCCCTTTATCAGCCAGGCTGTGTACTGCTCGTGGGTAAGTTTTACAACGGACGCATGCCACAACCGATGTACTCAGCTCCACAATAGCTAGTAAACTGTTATACACATATTGATGTTGCCCAACGCGTTGGTTTGTCTTTCATATATCGTCCAAAAAGGTTCTTACACAAGAAACTAGTTCGAAGGTTGGCGGCGAAGTATGCCCTGTTTAAGGATTTTGACAGCCGTTTCCTGAGGATGTTTGCAGTAATATCATATTTGAATTCAAGATTCAACAAAAGAATCTTTTTAGTACCAAATATGTTTATTCACCTGGGTTCTTTGGCTTTAAGTTCCTACCTGTTAATCTGAGCGGGAAACCGTTTGCTACTAGATTTCGTCAAAATATTTGCAGTTCTCCGTCAACAACCTCCTTAGTTCTCGATCCTCGAAGAAAGTGAATTAATAAGCTTTCTTTTCCTGCATAGAGGAACTGAACTTTGAAAATTAAGGAATTGTTCGTTCCACGTAGACTTTCTGTTTATTTTCCTACTCTGTCAAAGGTTTATCCAGTATTATATAATCACTAATGTATTTTCATAACCCTTCGTTCATTTTCTTACTTTACCATACATTCATCCCTTATTGCACTATTATATTTAATTTCATAATCCCTTGTCTATTTTCCCACTCCAAACCCAAATGTGTATTCATTAACTTCCTTTAGTTATTCAGTATATTTTACCCCCTAACTGGAAATAATTCTGGAATGTTCTGCTCACTGTAACATATGTTCATGAATGAACAGCTAATTAAATGACTTTGTCTAGAGGAAAAGAATTTCTTCACTTCAACCATATCTTGTCTTTTTCTATGATCAAATGTATGTATACAAGTATAAGATCTCCACAAATAAATTGAAACTGAGATATGGTAAATATTTGAATAACATTCTAACCAAATACTCAATATATTAACTATTCACTTATCCACAGACCTCTGATTCAAACCCAACATTGACCAGTTTTCACGTCAATTTTCAGTCATGTCTCCCAGGTTTAAGAAATGTATGATAGCTTGGAGCTGTTTATCTGTTCCTTATAATTGAAATGTTGTTCGAACTGATTTCATAAATCTTTACAAAACGTATCTGCAAAGTATAAAAATTATTAGGATAATCAACCTGTTAGAAATAATCAGCTGGAAATAGGACTCCTCTCTCCATGACTCCTTCAAAGATAATTATCTACTGTGTAATATTTCTTAGTCTATTTTAACGAGTTCCCAATAGCAAACTAAAGGATTATGAATCCGTAGAAAGAACAGGTAAATCAGTTTACACTGAATCGATCAAATATTTGATAAACTTGAGTTTAATGCTGACTGGCTTTTAAGTAACTAGAGAGCTCAATAAGATATAGTTATTATTGGATCTTGATGATGGTGAATAAAGAGCTCTGCTTCCCACATGTTCATTATCTACTCATACAGTGGGACATACCTGTAACCTCATTGAAGCTTTTTCTTTCTGCAAAAACTTGTCATCACAGTTATTCAGGCTATATGCTGAGAAAATTAATTTGCCACTTGATATGAAACACAAATTGGTGCCTAAATTACACTAAAGTGTTCATGAATAACAGTTGAGTAGTGAAACCATTAAAGCGAAAATATATTGAGACAAATACGGTGATAGGCTCCATATTATTCGAGAAAATAATTGTTAACATTTCCAAGAAGAATTTCCCCAATTATACAACTGTAATCACAAATATCCTGTCTATAAATAGTTTACCAAACGATTTTGGAAAATATGTCAATCGACAAAATAAGGCTGATAGACCAAAGTTCAAGTTCAACACCCAGAACAGAAAGTGAACTGAAGGGCGAAACTACAAAGGACATCTTCAGGTCAGCCTTCAAGACAAAATAGGAGATATCGAGGAAAATCCTTGATGAAACCTGTGTGGAACTCTTTAAAAGCTATGTGGAAAGAAACCTGCATAACCACATTAAGAAGGAAGAAGAAGCAAGACAAGTCAAGGAATGGATCTCGACGGACATATGGAAGCTGATAGAGCAAGGAGAGGAGGATGGTGAAGCAGAAGATGAACCAGTGCAAGGATAAACGATGAGAAGAGGAACTAAGTACACTGTATAAAACACTGGACAAAGAAGTGAAGAAGAGTGCGCGCAAAGACACACTGGCAAGTGAAGCAGAATAGGCTGCAGATAGGACAGAACTGACAAGATTGTATCAAATAACCAGATTGCTATCTGGGAGGGAAGAGATCAATGCAGACGAAACCAATAAAAGACGATGAAGGAAATCTAATTACCAAAGAAGAGAAACAAAGGAGAGGATGGCCGACCGCTTCGAAAAGCTCTTGAATCGATTACCACCACCACCTGCAACTCGTCCAGAAATACCACCACCAGCCCAGCCAAAGAACTATCAGTGAACACAAACCCTCCAACAAAAGCAGAAGTGAAATCCGGAACGCCATAAAGTTACTGATATGCGGGAAAGCAGCAGTACTGTGCGGAATTACTCCAAAAACACTGAAAATAGACATAGCTATATCAGCGGACATGCTCACACCACTATTGCATAAGGTTTGGAAGAAAGGAAGGAAGGAAAGGTGCCCACCGTTTAGAAGAATGGCTACCTTATCAAATTCCCAAGGAAAGATGGTTTAAGTCTTTGCAAGAACAAGAACTGGCGCGGAATCATCCTCCTCCCCTGTTCACCCCAAGCAAAATATTAAGCAGCATAGAATGGCAATCAACTCAGCTTCATCGATTTCGAAAAGGCATTCGACAGCGTTTACCGAGAAGTAATATGGCAGGTAGCTGCTTCAACACTACGGTTTTAGTCCGACAAACCTTTATCAATTTCATTCAACAACTATATATGAAGACACCACATGCTAAGTGATCCGCAATGGAAAGCTCAATGACACCTTTGAAGTGCAGACAGAAAACAGGAGTAAGGCAAGGTTGCCTACTATCACCCATAATCTTCCTGATTTTGGTTGACTGGACTGGATCATGCAACAAACCGTGACAAGCGGGAAGAGGGGCATATGCTATTTGACCGATGAAAAGATCCTGGAAGATTTGGATTTCGTCGATGATGATTTTTGTTTAATGTAGCACGAACTCGAAGATCTACCAACAAGTTGAGAGAAGAGGCAGGGAAGTGAAAACGAGACCTCCTTCTGGTGAACGTAGAGAAGACAGAGGTGACAGAGATGCCCAACCAACAACATCAACAACGCCAATCACCATGAACGGGATACATCTAAAGGAAGTTGTCTCTTTCACCTACCTACCTAGACAGCACCGTTTCAACTGCAGGCGGCACAGGTACAGATGAGGATGTCAAAGCCAAGACCGGAGAGACAGCAAGACAGACCTTCGTTAATCCAAAATCAGTGTGGAGATCTGGTGCACTGCACTGCACTCAGCATAAAGCGTGAACAACATCCGGATTTTCAACACTAATGTCAGTCAAGTCAGTGCTTCTATGTGATGGTTGAGAGACTTGGCGCGTTACGAAAAGCATTTCCAACAAACTACAGACATCATATATGAACAGCTGTCGCCTACGCTCACTCGATACTGAAGATCAGATGGATGGCCAGAATGATAAGAATAAGTAACAAGGAACTCTGGCCCGGTAACGAACCAACCAATCAACCAAGAACTCAACGTCCAACAAATACGCGGAAGAAATTGGAGATGGATTGGATTGAACTGGACACACACTGAGAAGGCCATTTGAAGACACCACGCGTCAGGCCAGGTCGTCAAGTTGAACCCATATGGGAAACGATGAGGGTGACATGAAGGAGATTGTATGAGGATGAAATGAAAGCTTATGGGCAGTCGTGGGGTTATTTTCAACAGACTGCGGAGAAGAGAGTGAAGTGGAGATGTGCTACTGGAGCCTTATGTTCCACTAGGAATCCAGGGGACCAATAGATTTTAAAAAATAAATATTAGTAAAATATGACCAAAACATCTTCAGTTTTAGGTGACCATTCGAAA